AAGTACTTGTGAATAAAAAGCAGTTCTTATCTGGTTCAATAAAAAAAAAAAATACAGAAATCAAAATACTTTCATTACATGCCTGTTCTTGCTGTCCCTGCCGTAGAAAAAAACATACAGTACAGCGTAAATTACTCTTATGAGCCACTTATTTATAGCGAATCAAATACAAATACCAATTCTTATACTATAATACGCTGCTAATACAGAAGGAACACCGTAGAAACATACAGAACAGAGCAAAGTGTAATCTGATTACTGAACAAATTACTCTTATTAGCCACTTCTTTTAAGTGAAACAAGTACTTGTGAATAAAAAGCAGTTCTTATCTGGTTCAATAAAAAAAAAAAATACAGAAATCAAAATACTTTCATTACATGCCTGTTCTTGCTGTACCTGCCGTAGAAACATACCGTGTAACCAGTGTTATCCAACTGTTATCCAATTCCAAGTGAATGATTCTTATGAACCGATTCTTTTTAGTGAATCAATTATTGCAAATCAGTTGAAGCATCAACAGACTGGTGAGGGCTTTTTAAGTTTTTTTATTTCTCAAAAGAATTGTTAATGGAAAAATTAAAGAATCCTAAACTTTAAAAATAATACCTTATGATTACCATCCCTATTCGTATATGAGCTGAGTCTGGATCTTCAGCCCATATGGGAATCGTAAGGAATTTACCAATTCTGATTTCTCTTAAGCATTCTGGTTAATTCCATTTCAAACCATGAGCTGTAAGGTGCAACAGATTCAGACTCAAGCAAATGGGCAAGATTTTGTTGGCGTCCAACCGCCTGACCTCTGTGAATTTAAGCTTCTTTGCTCCTTCACCGTCGTCCGATCAAAGTTAATAAGGGCTTGGTGAGTTAATGAAGACGGGCGATTCCTCTTTTTGTTCAGACAGCTTTTTAATACCTATTATAGGATGAAACTTTTAATGGAGGTTTTAGGTTCTCCTGACAAGCTAGTTGTCTGCAAATGCCGTCAAAGATACACGACCACTGAACTACGAGCCAGCCATGGAGCAACTGCCTGCCAGCGAGGAACTTCACACAGGAGACCTTATTCTCCAGAACAGATAAAGGCCCAGGGATGAGTGACTGCTTTTTAAAGCTCTGACGTTTGACTCCGCTTGGGCTAATTACAGCCCGCCATCTCATTTGAGAAGGTTTACTTAATCAAGAGAACCCTCTCTGCCATCCTATAGCTGAGGAATAACACATATAAACCGTTTAATGCCACCAGGATTGTGTTCGTCTTCAATTCATAGCACTTCTGCGTAAGTGGAGTGAATTTAAGCCACTCAGACGCTGGGCTAAATGCGCTTTAAAGAGATCTAATTGAGCAGAGGATCAGGGGGAAATGAATACACCTGATGAGCTTGTACTGTGCGTTAACGGGAAGAGAATGGGAACTTGTCCAAAGAATTTGAGGACACGGAAGACTCAGAGCTGAATTGCAGCTGATAGGGAGCTTGAGAAATCTGACGCAAACCCCTCGTGTATGACGACGGGAAGATTACTAAAGCATCTCGGAAGTTAAAGAGTGGAAAGTTTGGAAAAGTTCAAAGGAATCTTAAGAGAGGAGATTTGCTAAAACTTGGTGGTGCACGAGACAAAAGAGGCCATCAAATGGCTTTGATACAAGTACATACTCAAAAACTGCCTTGGTCCAAGCCTTACAAAAGTGTATTGTGATGTTACCATGGTACTTAAATGTTTACCATGGGAACGATGGATATTCCAGAGTACTATGAAATACTAAAAAGAATACCATGTCCAAAAAACATAGTACTTCTCGTATTTTTAGTATGCAGAAATTAAAAAATTAACACAATTAATAAAGATAAAAATTAAATAAGAAATATACAGTAAATAAACAAATAAAAAGAAACAAAAAGACAAAAATAAATAATATCATGGTACTAAAACAAAAATGTTAAAGTTTGCGACCCCTGTCAAAACCTACAAATTATTTTTGTAATTTAAGAGCTCATTTGAATACTTATATCTCTAGATTCACCAAAGCGATTCTTTCCTGAATCCCACCAGTTAATTGAAAACGACACATTTATATAGACATCTACTATACGTGACGTCTTTACATTTTTCCTAAATAATTTCTAAATAGAAGAGATGACCTTGGGATCTTTTAGTAATAGTTATTGAATTTAGCATCTCAATACTGTATTTTATCCCTTGAGAATCTGAATTAAAGCTCCACAAACAAAACAAAGTAAAACTGTATTCATCAGCAGGCCTTCTCCAAGCACATTCAATCAAGCAGCGGGAAACAAGAGCACATATGAAGATTTTCATTTGACCCTGAAACAAAATATTGCCAAACTGCCATTAGTTCTAAGGTTCACAAATGTCACGCCTGTTACACCTTTATGGGTAGAACAAAAGGAAAATCATTAAAACGGAGCCCACCTTGTGCAAGACATAAAAAGATTCTGCTCCTCAAAGACAAACCTTGTATGAAATCCCTCTGGGCAACGTGGGTTTTAAAAGAAATGCAATTTAAAAACATTTCTGTTTGAGGCAGAGGGACATTCAAAGCACCAACTTAGTCAGCTTCCTCTCAATGAAAAGTAAAGGAAGAACTGGGAACCCTGAGAAGGGTTTCTTGAGGGGTGTGCTGGGGGTCCAGACATACTCACAACTTTGAACTAAAACACACTGTAAATCAGTCAGGTGTGACCAATACATAAAAGGAATAGAAAGATCACAGAAAAGGCACAAACTAACTGAACTGGCATGAGACAGACATCAGGTCCAAAACACCCGGCAAAATACAGATGCAAATGCTTAACCAACACACTTCAAGCGTGCTGTCCTATTGTACATACTTAACAAATCATGTGCTATTAAACCAAATGCTAACATGTTGACACTTTAACTAAAGGTTAACCTACCTGTTCTGCAAGATACTTTTTAAACTGTTTCTACATCATGGCAGAAATTGAGCTGAAAAATAAATCTGACTTTAAAAAAACTGGTACATTTCAGAGAATGTGTACACTACTGTTCAAAAGTGTCGGCAAGATTGTTGCAATGTTTTTCAAAGAAGTCTCACCAAGGCTGCATTTATTTGATCAAACCTACAGTAGGCGCGTTTCCATTACAGATTTGCGCAAAACTTTGGCGATATTTTATAAATGTCGATAGAAAAGTATTGCGAAATGACGGCGTTTCCATTAACCAATGTTATGAGACTTAAACATAACCTTTTGCCTCTCGCGATAAGTCATGGCAACGGATTTTAGTGGGATTTTGGCTATATTTATTCAAAGGAGGCTTATGTGTGTATCTTTACAGAAGCAGCCAAGAGAGCCGCTTCAGAAACGTGCGTGGCGCGGCTGGAATAAACCATAGACTGTATAAAAACATAAACACAAACATTGAGTGGCCATAATCAGCTTCAGTGACCGTATCAGAACCACATTGCACCGCAGACGTGTGCAGTGTAAATTGTCTAAGCATTAATAGTAGGGAAAGCCCCTTATACTGGAGCGCGGCCACTTATGAAGTGTTTCTTGGAGGTTATAGTACATTGAAGAATGATCATATGACTTTTACATACGCCATGTGACCTGTAAATGCGAAAAAGCTGTTTCCATTGCAGTTTTGCGAATTATTCCTTTTTCGCATTGCCTGAAAAACCACCTCATGCGAGCGTAAAAACTTTTTTGCGATATATGGCCGTTTTTGTGAAATTGACGAATTTCCCTTAGGCGTATTTTCAATTCGCAATTTCAATTTGCGCAATTTGAAGGGTAATGGAAACGCGCCTAGTAAAGACAGTAATATTGTGAAGTATTATTACAATTTAAAATAACTGTTTTGTTTTTTTAATAAAGATTTTCAGCATCATTACTCCAGTCTTCAGTGTCACATGATCCTTCAGAAATCATTCTAATATGCTGCTTTGCTGCTCAAAAAACATTTTTAAGTATTATGCTGAAAATAGTTCAGCTTATTCATTTTTGTGGAAACTGTGATACATTCTTTTTCAGGATTCTTTGATGAATACAAAGTTCAGAACATAATTTATTTAAATATAAATATTTTGTAACATTATAAATTGCTTTAATGTCATTTCTGATCATTTTAATGCATCTTTGTTGAATAAATACTACATTCTACGTAAAAATACTTAAGACATTTGAATGGTAGTATACTGTATGTCTGAATTATCTCATCATTTGAACACCATAAAAGAAGTCCTGAAAATTGACCCCTCCACTACATCTGTAAAGTCTCAAGACGCATCATATCATGTTTAACATCAATACTGATCATGAGACAGACAGGAACCAACAAGTATGCCTTTAGAAGACTTGAAATATAGCATATTAGAAGTCATATAGACAACTTTTATGTTTTCTTCTATTCATTTTGTACCAATCCTTTTTTGTTGTATGAAAAAGAGCAGTGTCAACATTCTGCTAAACATCTCATTATTTGTATGCATAAAGGCATACAAGTTTGGAACAACATAAAGGCGAGCAAATGACGACAGAATGTTTATTTTTGGATGAACTATGCCTTTAAGCGATAAAAGCTCAAGTATGTTTCATTCCCCATGGTAAATCCTGGCTAGAACATCACTAAAGTTAGCCAGCGCACTGGTTGCCATTTCCTAGATCAAACTCCTGTTTTCAGGTACATAGTGAGAATCGGATATCAAAGGGAGTCAATCCAAATCTGGACGCAGAGGTTGCTGGAGATTTTCCCATGCCCCTACGAGCCCAGCCAAAACAGTGTGTGTTCAAGCTTTGGTTTAAAACTGCCATCAAACCGGTGATCAGAGACGCCTCCGAGTCAGACTTCAGCTGGGAATCAATTAGCAAAACTGAAGTTCTTTGAATGTTACAATTCATTTCAATAGAATATGCACTGTGATGAATATCTAAACAATTCCTTGGTTAATAGATCTTCTACATGAGAGGTTGTGCTATATATGGTAGAAGTAGAAGCGTTAGGAATATCTGACCTTTGCCGCAAAAGTACTCCATGTCCTCACAGGTGAGGTTGTCTGGTTCAAAGTCAACAGGAAAGTTTTCCTCCACTGAAAACTCCTCTTTAGCAGTGAGTTCATTTGCGTCTGATATGCACTCCTCCTCTTCCTCCTCCAGACCTCCATCTAGTGGACCTACACACAGAACACAGCACAATCAGACTGTTTAAGTGAGGCGCTGCCAAGCAGGAACACTTACACTTGTACAGCACATGTGTCAGGAACTTTCGAAGTTGATTATGTTGAGTATGTTTTACAAGAATATACAATTTCAGACGGTTTTCTTTAAAAAAAAATGAATGTTTAATCCAATGTTACTTAGTTTTTAAGTGAAAATTGTTTACATCTTTTTTTTTTTTGAAGTCAACCACATTTTGATACAGAACAGCATGTATCCTCTGTGAAGAAGGCAATCCCATAATTCCGTTTAGCATGCGCGTGCTGTCTACTGAACGCAAACAACGCTGATTACGTTCAGCGAAAGACCGCACATGCTGAACATAACAACGCTGATTATGTTGATTACGTTCTGGGGTACTCTCTAGGGCTGTCAAAAAAAAAATAGAATTTTGAATATTTGTCGAATTTAAAATAAAAATCCACATCCACAAAAACATTGCATTCGAATTTTAGGTGTGCGTTAAGGAGGCAGCCTTATCAGCGGTGCACGAGAGGCG